TTGACCCCGATGTTAAAACACCATGCTCTAGTAAACTGCACAGTTTTTATTTCTCCTTTTAAGATGCTTCCTACTCAGTTGTGTGACTAGGAGGCATTACAGAGAGATAAAAAGGCAGGAAGAGAAGAAAAGAAAGGATTTCCTCATTCCCTCTTAATGCTATTCCTGTATGGGGACTGCCCTGGTAATGGCAGCAGTAGTTGGTTCAGCCTCTAAGTTCTTATTACATTCCCAAGTCTAGCCTTATCATGCCCCAGGCATAACCTCTTCTACAATGTCTGGGCCCAGCTCCTTGGGGGGCTTCCCCTAAGAAGATAGCCCCAGTGCCTTCTATTTGTTCCACCAGCCTTATAGATATTTTTCTGTCTGGCCTGCACTTGCTACCAGGAGATTCTGGGATTTATTCGGTCATGTCCATGGCCTTTAATGAAATACTGATCTCCTTGCCAAAGGGAAATGAGATACTAGTGATTTATGACATGAAGTCACATCACAGTTAATTAAAATTGTCAATTCTAGTTGATTGTAATGAAGTACCCTGAGAACCAAGTGTCTTCCACACTTAATTATTATCATAGTTATGATGACTACAAGAACTGTGAGATGGCTGGCCTCTTCTGACTGAAGAATCCACAGACAGAGCATATAAGTCCAGGCTTTTAATTCTCATTTGAAATAATAGAGAACAAAAAAGCTTCTATAGCAGTCTTAAAAGAATTTCTTATTTTTTATAGCTTCAGGGGTGTCTTCTCTTAAGAAGCAGATGCATATTTTATTTTGCTGGTTATAGAATGGCAATGTAAATTGAAATCTTACACTTGGCTGTGTCACCTAGGAGAAAATCAGGACATTAATTGGGAAGGAAAGTGAGGCTGAAACTTGCGTGGTGACATCTAAGTGGACTCAGATAATGCTGAGAATCTTAAACCCAAAGACTTTCTAAGACTTTCTTGCTAGTGGAAACAATCGATCTTCCTGGGTGTGACAAGACTACCTACCCTTTTCTTGGATTAAGCCCCTTCAGTGACTCTTCTAGGTAAAGAAATCCAAATCAACCAGCTATGATGCTGACTGAGAGAAAAGGATAATAGAATAAAGAAGTTATAAAATCAAATACTGTCATGTATCTAATTATATAAATGGGGACCACAGTAGCTATGCATGTTGAATCCCTTGCTGTCATTTTCATAGATATAGATATAGCTACACATATGCGTAGAGATCAGATAGATATTGGCATATATTGATATTTGTATAGATCAAATTCTTTTTTTTTACCTCCCTTCTCCTGTCCACTTACTATTTTATATAAAGGGTTTTGTCATCATTGATAGCTTTATAATCGAGCCTTTAGGAAACAATATTCAGGTAGGACTGTGATTGTATTAAAAAAGTAAATTTCATCACTCAGAAATAGCTACTGTGATGGTTGCCTAAAGATCGATACAATAACTGTTGAGGGTTTGCGTATTTTTTTCAGACAAATGATGAGAGCATTTTTGTTTGTGTAAAGAATAGTTGCATCTTATTACTGTGAAATGTAAATAACATGTTTCTTATATACGTATACATAAATCTGTACAGAAGTGTGTTATGTGGTACTGAATAATCAAGGGGGTAAATTATACCAATTAGTAAGAAGTTGTCTGTCAGCTTGTTATCCAACTTCTGGTCTCTATTTTGTGATGCTGGGGCTGGAACTCTGTAATTTTTATTTCTTCTTGGCCATGGGATTTCTGTTAGGTTATGCTGATAGAAAGCACTGAAGAGAGACAGGAAGAAAGAAGGAAAGGGAAAGGAATTTTAACCTGTTTATTGACTTGTTTTGTTTTTCCATGTTACCTTTCGCCTTGCAGCTATAGTTGATTCCTATCTCCAGTTGTTTGGCTCCCTGAACCAGCCTCACTGTGTCGGAGTAAGCAGTTTCAGCCAAGCAGCACATCCTCAACAGTCTAATCCCAAATGTGCAAGTGTTCTCCTTCAGGCTCCTTGGGCAAACCACAGATGACTGACACTCAGCCCTGAGGAGCTCCTCCTCTAATTATCTGAGTTATCAGTATAGGACAAATGGCACCCTGTCCTCGAAGGTCTGATTCATGGCTCTAGGAGTTTCCTCTGAGATACTGAGCTACTATCACCATCCAGGTGGTGCCAATTCCTTGGATGACTAAGTCCAGCTTTCTAAGACCTCTTGCCCTAGCTGCTAGGTTCTGTTAACTTTGTCCTTTTCCCTTTGGTGTCTCCTTCCTACAGCTACTTTTTCTGTGTTGCTTATTTAACAGTTTCTTCTATACTAAATTCTCTCTGTTGAAAGACCTAGTCTGGTTTCTATTTTACACAGTCATAATTTGGTTTCTAACAGCTGGGAGGACTAAGATAAACCATGTCCCCATTCAGAGATTCAATTCCTTATCTATTTAATTGAGGGGTAATAGAGGAGGTAGTATAAATAGTATCTGAAGTGTTTCTCAAATTGTTTTCTGGGGAATGCTACTCCCGAGATACCCTCTTTGCAAAATAATACATATAGTTTTATGGATTTGGGGAATGTTATAGTACTACAGCAAACTATTAAAGACTCACAGTGCACATAAACACAATAAAGGCTGTGAGAAAGCTAGCAGAAAATAAACCTTTTCCACTTTGATTCAACATCTCTCTTCAAATGATTTCACTAGGGAAACTATTTTATTTTCAGTTGAACTCTATTACCATCCCGTGATATACATTGAGAAACAGCATTCTCTAGAATCCTGAGAAATTCAAAATTTTGTAATTTTATAATTTTTTTTCTAAATACCTTTATTTGGGAGGAATCTGATGCCTGCAATTCTTTTCGTTAGTTTTATTTATCTGTTTCAGATATAAGCATAAATGCTGACTAAGAGTAATATCTTTTGCAATGACTTGTAGAATGAGTGCTGAGGAGAGGAATGGAAGGTGTCAGAACACCAGGAAAATTATTATAGGAAATGAAGTTCAGGGTAAGAGAATATTGGCGGGGATGAAAGAATAGAGTCATATTGGGTTAGATGAGGACACATATGATCATGGTTAAGTGAATGAGGTAAGGACTCACACTGCTGATTCTCAGCTACAGCTTTGAGTGCTATTTGATTTTGTTTTGTTTTGTTTTTATTAAGAATATTTGTGAGATACAAAGCTAATTGTCACCCCTCCTCCCCCATGATGTGAGGACCAGATTGACATTGGGGGCACTCCCATCACCAGAAATTACCCTTGCACCCCCTTTTCCCATCCAATTATCCCCCCACCTATCCCCCCCCCTCCACTCCACTTTGTAGCCCCAGGAATGGGACTGTTAGACCATGGCAGCACCCTGGTTTTTCTATCCTTCCTTCCTTTCTCTCTTAGCTCCCGCATATGAGTGAGCACATGCGGTATTTATCCCTCTGTGCTTTGCTTATTTCACTCAACATAAGTTTCTCCACGTTCATCCATGTTGTTGCAAATGGGAGTACTTCATTCTTTTTTATGGCAGAGTAGTATTCCATAGTGTGTATATACCACAGTTTCCTTATCCAATCATCCATTGATGGACTTTTAGCTTGGTTCCATATCTTGGCTATTTTATTTTGAATAAAATTACTCATCTTCTCTGGGCCTTGGTTTCCTCTTCTTTAAATGGACATAATTGCAGTATATATTTTACAGGTTTGTGAGGAAGATGAAATGTGGCATGGCATGTAAGATGATTAACATTTTCCTGACATTTAATTGTTTAATGTATTCCTTAAAACAGAACCAGGCCCTGTATAATTATGCCATCTTCATTTAGGTAGAAAAAAAAAATGGTTAGAAAAGAAACATGAAGCTATTCAAAATAGTAGGGCCTTTAGAGGACATCTAATCCATCTCCCTCATTCTGTAAATGAGAATAGAGCTGAGTCCCCCAGAGACTAAAATATTTGGTTAAGGAGCTAAACAATAGGGAAGTTGGATGGGGACCTCAGTCTTTTCACCCTCAGTAGAGTTCTATTTGAATTAAACTCAAAGTTATTTAGCTGTAGCATTTTTGTATTTTCCTGGATAAAGACATGAGTAACACCAAAATATTTCTTTCTGGGTTCAGGGCTCAGGGTGATCTCTGATGTTTAAGACCCAGAGACATCTAATGAGGGGGTTATCCATTTGAACAAACCACGCTGCACGCTGCATGCTTTCTTCTGGTCTGAGTTCCCATTTCCTTATAACAATTCTGTGTGGGAGAAACATGGTTAGAGCAAGTATCAAGACGAACTGGAATAGTGGAAAGGGAGAAAAGTAGCCTCAGACATTTTTCATTGTTGACTGGGCAGCAGGGAGAAAAAGGATTGACTATATGAATATAAACTAAAGTATTTTTTCAGAGCTGGGGGACTGAGCCTGGTAGTGTCTTATTTCCTACCTCTCAGAATTACCAGGGGTGCTAACATTGAGGCAGAGGTAACCAGTTCATCTCTCCATGCCCGAGGAAACTCTTCTCCCTAGCTTTATAAGACAGATCGAGAGAACCATGTTTATTGTTGTTTTATTCAGCGTCATACTTAGAAAAGTGGAGAAAACGAGAGATAACCACAGTCATAATAAACAAGGTTTCCTTCTGTCACTAATCTTTTTCTACAACTTCATGGAATTACTATAAGCATATTACTTTAAACAGAGAATTTAATAGGATAAAACCACATTGTGTTGCAGTCCAACTAAAGCTATGTACATATGCATACATAATTTATGATCTATGTATAATATTTATGTATACAAACACCACACTTTATTGAGGTAAAAGAGCACAGTGAGGTTAAAAACAAATGTCTAAGCTCAATATAGGCTTTACAATGCCACTGAAAGCCATTTACTAGTATAAAGACCTCAAACATGCTGATATTAACCTACTGATAAATATTTAGACTACATCTATATTTTGCTCTCTTGGAAATCATGCCAAAATAAACATATTTAAGGCAACATTTAGAAGTGTCAGCATTTCTTATTTTATCTGCCAAGTGATAAATGTTATTCACAGTGACAAAAATATTGAACAATGAAGGACAAAGGTTGGCACATTCATCTTGAATCCATCTTACCCTTTTATAAAATTTTTCTCTAATTTACAGAAAAGTTATATTTTTCAGCAACTTTCACTTTCAATTTTGAGAAGTAACATTATTGCTTTGGGGCAATACATGCTTACTCAAAGCTGTATGACAGATTTTCAATTTTGACTTCATGTTCTTAAAAGCATCTCAATGCTATTTTCTTTTCTTTTCTTTTTTTTTTTTTGAATACAGAACATGAGAACTTATAAAATACTGTCCTGGCTGCAAGTTATTCAATACCACTGCTCACTTCCATTGTGTCTTTGGAAAGATAAACTATCCAGTATACAAGGTTGAATCCTGCAAATGCAACTGGGAAGAGAATTCGAGAATATTGGTCTATTTTGCTGGTGCCTCCAAAGGCTGGCGAGACTGGTGGGGGGGTGACAGGTGTTGATTCTAAGATGGGTGCTCTAGTGAGGACTTTGCTGGCTTCAGGGGATGAAACTATTGGCAAAGTCAGAGAGGTGATTCTTTTCTTCAGATTGTACTTGGAATCAGGATGCTGTGGGGAGAAAAAGACATAAATATTCAGCTGGGAAAAGAATAGAGACCATTTATTTAGCCATTCATTTTTTTTCCATTGACATGTATTTATTGACTATTATTATGTAAGGTAAAACATCAACAAATTCTTGATAGTATTTGATGGTGCTGCTTTTCCATGGAAGGGTTAAAACACATTTTTTAAAAATAATGTGCTTCTATCCAACATCCTAAAATTCAATATATCAGCAATTGATGCCAGACATGTTCCATGTCCCAGAAACCGTGTTGAGCATTGTACCGTTAGGAAAGATGAGCCAGGTTGCAGAGGCATATCTGCTCCCTGATTATACACAAACCTGTAGGGCAAAGGGTGTGGGGAGTGTTGGGGAGAAGTGTATGAGGAAGGTAGATTCCAATTTGGAATATGTGGACAATTAATTAATACAAAAATCACAGTTCGGTCCATTGATATCATTCTTCTAGACACGTTCCCAGCCTACATTTTCATCTTCACACAATCATAACTTTGAACCTGCTGACATTAAAAATAATACTAATAATTAGCCCACGTATGCCAAAAGCCAGCAACAAAATATAAATATCTTTAAATTGTGTGACATGACTGTTCATGCCTTGAAATACACCTGCTTCTTACCCCAGAAGTTCTATATTGAGAACTTCCTACTTCCCATTCAGAACATCCTCACTGGTCTCCTGTCATCTTAAGTTATCAAAAATGATTTATTTACTAACCTCAGAGTTGCTATATGGTCTTTTTCTATCATTAGACTTTCCATTCCACTGAAATCATACGTCAATCAATTTTAGTCTTGAAAGAGTTGCTTAGCACATTAATTGACAGGTGAAAAGTCTAGGATCCAGGTAGAGAAAATGCTTTTTCCAAGGTTTCACAGCTAGCAATGAACTCACTGGTCAATTTCAATGCTTGTTTCATTCCAACATTTTCTCATCTTTACTCTAAAGTATTGGGACTAGGTCACAGACTCAGATTCTGTCTGATTTAATTCCTTTTGTGCTTCTGGAGTCTATAGGGCCTTCCTCTGATTCTTATCTTTTTTAATCTACATCTTGTAACAATCACTCTTCCTGTGGCCAGGTTGTCCTGGCTGGGTCTCCACCTTCAAACCCTCACTGCACATTACCCCTGATCTTGTAAAATGGCCTCATTTCCTCCCTGCCTGGCAGCAAAATCACCACTTTGCTGCCTAGCAGGGTATAAAACTCATATGGGCAGACTCCCGTGGCTTTAGCCAACAACCCTGCAGCAATAGGATGAGACGGCTGCTTCCTTGTGCTGGTTGAGCCACAGGATCAAAATGACCCACTGATGTGATGGCATTCGGACTGCAGGAACAACATCCCAAGAGCCTTTTCTTTCTATATTCCCCTACTGAATTTTGCTGTTTGATTTGCCTTGGAAGTTATTGATTGAATAATAATAGTCGTCACAGAGAATTCAAGCACAGTGTGCTTGTAGGGGCCATAGGAAAATCCATTTCTTCAACCAAAGCAAAAATAAATGTGTAGTCAAGCCTAATTTGACATAACCATGGTGAGTTTTAAGCAAGAAGTATCTTTCTTGTTTATCTACTGGCTCAGTACTGTGCTAGGCATTCTGAGCAGAATTAAATAAATAATAGTTCTTGGAAGTAGAAGAGAGTTTAAAATAGTAGAGGGTCTAGTTTGCTAATCTTGGGGAGGAAATGTGACACTTTCTATTAAAAATATGTGACAGCTGAGGACTACTGTGCCAGGGTCACCAGACTGTGTGTGGTTAGGACCAGAGTAAATCAGAGTAGGTTTAAAGGCACTCTGCCTCTCAGAGAATTAGGATAGCACCATCTTCCAAGACTTTTCTATCATGTTTCTCAGACTCTCATTTGAATTTTTATCCATTAATATGTTATTAAAATGTTCTCTACCTGAAAGAGCAAAATGTGTCACTGTTTCATCCTCCAAAAAGAGCCATCCTCTTCCGACATTTACGAAACACTAAAATATTTTGCCCTAGTAAAATTTCTAAGGATCATGAAGGAGCAGAAGGAGGGCAAGCCTGCAGAGCAGATTTTCTTTCTAGGTTCATCTTGACTTTTAATAGCATGCATTGCCTGTCTGAAACCTGTTTTTCTTTCTATATTATGTGAAAGGAGGGCAGACATGCCTAGTTTGTTGGGATGGAAAAGTGACTGTAAAATACAAAATACCATACAAATGTAAGACATTGTTTTTTTCCTCCCTTTTCTTCAGAGGTTGGGGGGGGGATTTATTTGTGAATCTCTTGGCATTGTCACAAAAGACTTAATGAGAATTGCCAAATAACCCTGGTCCAGAGTTAAGGGATATAATTCAAAATGAAACACCATGAAATATTTAAATACAATGCAATTAGACTGTAATTAAAGTCTCCTACAATAGGATTATCCTTTTGTTTCATCTACTTCCCCAAACAATCTCTGTGGAGGGTTACTTAGGAGATAAGAGCACAGGAGAGTCAGAAATCCCTAGATTATAATTCCATATCTACTGCTCACTTGCAATACGACTTAGACACATCATAAATGTCACAGTTTCTGACTCTCCCTACTTTTCAAGTTACTATCTTTATAGTTAGGAACAATTATTACTTATCTCAAAAGTTTTTTTCTGCTTTTTAAAAATAATTTAAGAAAAATGTATGATATATAGATACATACCCAAATATACACACATATATACATATACATATTTGCTCAGCAAACCTTAGCTATAACTATTTTTTCAATTGTTTGTAATACACGTCTGCTGCTCAGTCTCACCACTTACCTATCTTTATTTCCTCTTTGCCTGGAATAACATTCACCTGCCACCCCATCTTTATCTTTCTTTCATTTCTTTTGATATCAAACTCATGCACCACCGAACATCACAGCTTATCCCAGCCTTCATGCACTTCGCTGCCTACTTAGCTATTAAAAATCTTGTAGCTATTATCATATTCTCCCTTGTAAGTATCATTATGTCTATTGTGGCTTGTCTCCTCTCTTAGCATGAAATCCCCTTAATGGTAGAGGGCTCCTTATTCTCACTTATGAGTGCTCCATGGTGCCTAGCCAGTGCACAGAACATATTAATAAACATATGCTGAATCACTAAGTGAAACAAAATCTAAACACTTCCAAGATTTCTTGGAGAAGACAGTCCAAGAAAGGGGAACCAAAAGTTTTATAATTTGTTACAATGTATTTTAATATGTTATCTTATATCACATTAAAATATTATAGGTACCATTTCTAAATGCTTACTGTTGACAAGCACTTCAAGGCAATGTGCAAGAATCATTTCATTTATTCCTTTAAAAAAATCTATAATGTTATATTGTTTTCATTTAAGAGCAAATGGAGGCTTCAGCAGAAAGTTCCCACAGGTAATAAGTGGCAAGGCCTAGATTCAGTCCCTCTCAGATGCCAAAGAGAACACTCTTAACAAGTCATTATGCTGTCTTCCCATCAGCTTTAGGGCTTAGGGAATGGTTTCTCAGCCTCAGAACTACTGACATTTTGGGTTAGATAATTCTTTGTTGTGAGGGACTGTCCCCCACATGGGATGTCACAGGAAGTTGAGCAGCATCCCTGGCCTCTACCTGCAGGTTGTCAGTAGCACCTCTCACCCCGAGTTGTGACAACCAAACATATCTCCAGACATCGTCAAGGGTCCTCTTGGGAAATAATAGCTCCCCATTGAGAATCACTGGTTCAGAATCACAACTGTCCCACTGCCCAGCAGTGATTGGGGGGATCTCTAGCAGGCAGCAAATACAATATACTAAAGGAATTGAACGAGGCCCAGCTACCCCACTTGCTGGATAATCAGCTGCTCAATAATTGGGAATTGGCAGCATGAGGGGACTGGACACCAATTTAGAAGAAATGCATTGAATTTCTGAAATAAAAAGAAAGCCAATTTTGTGAGCCATTCAAGCTACAGGTTTGCATCAGTCCCCGCCTGCTCTATTGTAAGCCTAGCAGCTTCAGCTGATGGTAAAATAGGCTTTTGTCAGAGTCCAGATGAGGGCTCAGCTTGGGGCTGTCACTGTTTTGAGTGGAGCACCTGTGGTTTTGAATATTTCCAGGGCTCCCCTGCTGCGGAGTGACATCCTGCTTTAGGTATTTTTAGAGCACTGCTTTGTTTTAAGTAACGCCTTATTGCAAAGGTATTTTGAGTAAAATTGGACTTATGACAATCAATTATTTGATGTAGGGATAATGCATTTGAAAAGTATTTAGAGGAATTTTGATACATCATTGAAGATTCTATTGTTTAAAAATAAAGAGACAATGGGTTACTTCTCACCATTCTGTACTCAGCTTAGACATCACTCCTCTAGAAGTAAAGACCCCTCCAAACTGAGTTAGATGCTCTTCACTACTGAAGGGATAAACAAAGCACCTGTTTTTAGAAAGAGTAAATAGGGGCCCCAAAAATAAGAAAAAATATTTTTGAAAACATTTTACTATTTGATATTTTTCAAAACCATCCTGTTAATCATTATGGAGAAAAATAGAACTCTGTTGGATTTTCTTGCATTTATGTTACAGTTGGGAGCAGAGACAACACAAGAATTTCTACAGAGAGGCAGCTTGTTGGCAGCAATCTGGCTGGTCAGTGATGCTAGGGGACATGTCTGGAATCCATGTGAGGATGTCTGGAGGGTACAAAATGAAGTACTGGGTGGGTATTTGATGGAAGGTGGGGAGAAAGAGCTAAGCACTTATACTCCTTTCCCATCACAAACCATCTAACGGCACCATAGGGAAGGGGCGTTGTGATCTTTCTGCTGCTTAGGGTCTCTGATGGTCTTAATTCAATCCCTAATTCTAGACAGTAATGACAGTGCCCAAGGAAATCTTGACAGTATTTGGAACAGGAGAAGCAAACCTTTTAGTATTCTATCCTTCATTTCTCTCTCTGCATAGTTGAAGGCAGCATGATAATGGTCCAGCTCATTGAAGAGGACAGGAAGATCATATGTCTTGACCCTGTCTATGTCCAAGTCTCTAGCAACTGGCTTCGTGCTGCTAGCACAGGGCCAGTCTCATCACTCTGCACTCAGCTTAAACATCATTCTTCTAGAAGTAAAGACCCCTCCAGACTAAGTTACACTTTTTTGCATGGCTACTTGAGTCTACTATACCTCTCTAACCACCACCTTTATCACAAAGTTTTATTAAGGCTCCTGATTTGGCTCTCTTCCTTTTAAACAAGAAGTTCTGTGAGGGAAGAGGCCCTCTGAATAGATATCAGGTTTTAATATACTCTTAGCATTCTACATAAATGCACTGAACAAATATTTAGGGTATGAACAATTCAGTGAATATATAGGTATTCAATAAATGGGCGCCAGATAAAAAGGAAATAAACAATGTAATCAGAATAAATAGTTATCGTGCTGACTAATAAAATTTTGGTCAACTTTTTATGTAGATAATTTACAAAAAGCATCACATCCCTTGTGAAGAAAAGAAGCCACATTGGAAGTGATGACTATACTCAAAGGAAGTATAAAATGGGCCAGGGGACATTCATTCTTAGGAACATAGGGGTGAGGGATAGATATCATGTTTTAATATACTCTTAGCATTCTATATAAATGCACTGAACAAATATTTAGGGTATGAACAATTCAGTGAATATATAAGTATTCAATAAATGGGCGCCAGATAAAAAAGGAAATAAACAATGTAATCAGAATAAATAGTTATCGTGCTGACTAATAAAATTTTGGTCAACTTTTTACGTAGATAATTTACAAAAAGCATCACATCCCTTGTGAAGAAAAGAAGCCACATTGGAAGTGATGACAATACTCAAAGGAAGTATAAAATGGGCCAGGGGACATTCATTCTTAGGAACATAGGGGTGAGGGCTTAAACCTTTAAAATAACAAGGAAACTAGCAAACCACGCAAAAAGAGGTCAAGGACCAAATTTGGTCTTATATGAAGTATAGGTATACTCCAGAAACATAACAGGTTCTGAAACCATGAAGACAAATAACTCTCTGATGTCAGTAGCATATCAGATAAAAACAATAAGGAAAGACAACATATAAACAGGAAAGAAGCTGTTGATAATTTCTTCTCAAAACCTAAAAAAAGAAAAAAAAAGAAGTCTCCAATTCTAAATACCTTAAAAACAGAAAGATAATTAGTCTAAAGAGAACATAACAGGTTCTGAAACCATGAAGACAAATAACTCTCTGATGTCAGTAGCATATCAGATAAAAACAATAAGGAAAGACACCATATAAACAGGAAAGAAGCTGTTGATAATTTCTTCTCAAAACCTAAAAAAAGAAAAAAAAAAAGAAGTCTCCAATTCTAAATACCTTAAAAACAGAAAGATAATTAGTCTAAAGAGCACTTCTGAGGATTTAGCTTTAAAGTGTCTTTTCGGGTTTGAGTCCTAGATTTTAAATGTCTGAATTTCTTTGTCATTATTATATTAAATTTGAAGTTCAAAATCAAAGTGATAGAAGTAATAAACATTTGCCCACATCCATTCTAAGTAGTTCCTGTGAAAAGCAATAAGCATATGAAAATATACTACTCAAAATCACATGAAATATCCAAACACTTAATTTCATTTCAACCTCACCACATTAGTTTGCTATTTCAATGTCCAACTTTTTCAAATAATGTTGTTTTGATTACAACTGAATAGGCATTTTTAAACGTCACGGTATTTGAAAGAAAATGTCATGTGATCATAATATATATTGTGTAGTATAAATTGCAAATGTGTAATTTATGTTTGTTCCTCTGTGTTATATAAGACAACTTGTCAAGTTTTGACATAAACAAATAAAATGTAAGTGTTTCATGTAATTACCTATATTTATTTTTGGTAGCTTCAAGGTTTACATTGTTTGGTCTGCTTATTTTTGTTTTTATTTTTATTTTTACCCTTTAGACTTTTAGAAACAAAATTCTCCTATTCATTGCTTTAAAATACTTTCAGTAGAGCCAGATTTAGAAATATAATTTTTATAAGAAAAAAGGCAAATTGCAAGAAAAAAGTATTTTTAGATTATTTAAATGCAATTTTTTATCCAGCTTCCCAAAGGACCTGCTCATTATATGTTACTATTTTAAGATTGTAGGAGATAGTTTATATGAAGACCTGAGATCTTAAATTCCATTTTATTAATAAATTATGCTTTTAAAATAATAGCTTGGAGGGATGATTACTATATGTTTTCGCCAAGGAGTTGAAATCATATTCCTCTCAGTACTAAATATCTGAAAAGAGTTGGAGAATTTGGCATTTCGTTTTATTTCAATAACTAACCAATGAGCATATTCAAAATCATCCCAGTTATTTTTTACCATTTCTGATTATTTTTTTTCATTTTTACTATATTTCTCAAATAAAAACTGTTAAACTGAATTCTGATAGACAATTCTTACTCATTTATAGATATATGTTAAGATAATATATGACCTTTGGAAATATGTAGGTTTTATACACATATGCACGTAGATAGCATATAACAGAATCAATTACTTTTACAGACATAAAATAATTTTCAAAAATATTTGCAATGTATCTTTCCTGAAAAACAGGTTTTAAGTGTTTTGGACTAAGTATAGAAACTAACATATTTTCATTGCAAAATTTATATTTTGGTGACCTTTCAAACCACATATATACAAAGAAAATGTCATTGTCAGAGGAAGAATTTGGGGAATGACTTCACCTACATTCTGAAAGTGTTTTATCCGGTGGTATGCACTCTTGTATATTTCAGTCTTTGAGGAATTAGAGAGGGGAAAGCCTCAGGCTGGGTAATATTGTGGATTTCAGGAGTTCTGGAATGAATTCCTAGTTTTTCTACTAACTAGTAACTAATATTTTCCCTTTCGGAGACTGTTTTCCCATTTGTAAAAGAAGGTAATGAGAATTGATCACTCAATTGCAAACTTTTTCTTATTTTTTAATGAAGGCTAATTTAAAAAATCTTTAAATTATAAATGTCCACTCATTATGTGAATGGCCTTCTATTGTTTCTCGGAGAAAATGTAAATTCTTAAATAAGTTTCTTACTTTATTAAAGAGAAAAAATTCAACAAGAACATTATTACCTCTTTAGCCAATAAATGCCTCAGATGTGGAGAAGTAAAACACACACAGCTTTAAAATTTGCATCATGAAATTAAACTGAGGATTACTGGGGTGCATATGATTTTGAGATTTGGAAATGCTTACTAGAATTGATCAATTATAAAGAAATTTCCAGTTTCAAGTGTCTGCATTACTCTACAGAGCAAAATTTTTTCTCTTACTAAGAGTTGCTCTTTGGGGTTTTTATTAAAATAAAAATTTACGCTTCTTAATCAGTTTTATAATCCATTTAAAAATGTGTTCAGCTTAATTGTTGTGAGAATTTATTCATATACAAAACTGAAATTTAGGGGCACATTTTTGGCCCTTGAATTATTAATGCTACCATATGTTTCTTATTCAAAAACCTTTGGGGACCAGAGTTTAACTGCAGCAAGTTTAACATAAATTTATGGGTATATCTCACTGATTATAAATCCTTACATATAAACTCATTGATATACATGTGTTTAATATACAAATGTGAATAGGAGAAATGTTTTAACATGAACAAAATACTTGGGTTATGACTCAGCATTCTTCGAATCTGTTAGTCACTATTCACATCCTGCCTTCATGAAATAAAGCAGCAACCAGAATTCTAACAAAAAATTGTTCATTCCGTAGGAATCCCTGTTTCTTTCCTATGGAATGAAGCCTCATTAGAAAAAAATAATTTTATTTTATTTTTTTTACTTTATTCTCTCTAGTTGGTATAAGTGAAACTGTTTAAAGGAAATAACTAAAGTTTTTTTTTTTACTTTATTCTCTCTAGTTGGTATAAGTGAAACTGTTTAAAGGAAATAACTAAAGGCTAATAAGAATTTTCTCGTCTCCTCTGAGAGCTTGGAATCTGCCAGTGCAGGTGAGGATGATGAAAGAAAAATGCCAAAAGTTTAAAGCAAAGGTAAATGAAGGATTGTTCCTTAGCTTTTCTCTGTGAAGTTGGAAGAGAAATTGGCCTTGCTCTTGGAACTAGAATTATGTAACTTGTGCTCAACTGATATTACTTTTGGACTCTCTAGTTGTTAATAATCACTGTTTGGGCTGCCTTTTCCTATATGATAGGTAAGATTAGAAAAGTAAAAATTACCAAAACAATCTCATCTTCCAAGGGTTCAGTCACTTTTGATACTATCACTGGGGGTGGGGCTGTAGTCTGTGCCTCTGTTTCTGCTCTCTGTGTCTGAAGATTGGTGAAGTAGTTGACAGCTGCGAACTCAATAAGAGCAGAGAAGACGAAAGCAAAGCAAACAGCTATGAACCAATCCATGGCAGTTGCATATGACACTTTTGGCAAGGAGTGCCGAGCACTGATGCTTAAAGTGGTCATGGTTAAAACAGTGGTGATCCCTAAAATGAAAAAGAATGGGAAATGCAGTATTAGCGTTGGAAATCTTATAACAAGATCATATGAAAACATGTTGGTAGAGAGGACTAAATATCAATGCAAAATAATTTTTATTATTTTATTGTATTGTAACAGTTCATAATTATTATTATAGGTGTTATTTTTGTATCCTTTAAATACTTATTGCAGTGACATATTGTAGTTACTCAAAAAACTATTTGTTGAACTGAATTAGTTTAACTTATAAAATTTAAGTCATAAACAGTTTTAGTTGTTTACTGCTTGAGAAAACATGCCAGATTCTTATAACTTAAAAAAAAAAACAACTCAATTTTCTGATCAATTTGAGTAGCTGATAGCATCTCTCATTATAGTTAAGAATTTGGTTATTCAATTTTTTATTTAATTTCTAGCTTGATTTTAAGATAAAATAGTTACTCATGAGAAAAAGAATTTTATCACTCATTTGCCAGCAGTTTTTCTTCTTCAAGTATGACTTGTGGAATTTGTACCATTATGAGATGTGTAGAATTGATGGTCAACATTATGTAGATATTGAGCTATAATTTGTAAAAAGAGATCTATTTTAATACAGTAAAAAAAAAAATCAAGGCTCATCTGAGATTCCAATTCAACTATGGTCATCCTTATAGACTACTAAATTTATAATCATGAAAATCCAGAAAAAAATTGGATTTTGTTACGGATAATATTTCCAGTTACAGCTCTTTTTCTTATGATTTCATTTTGCTTCATCAAAACTAGTAGTGATTCTATACATCATACATGGAAGTAAAAATCTAGGTTGAGCCACAGGAAATTGTAATATTTAACTACTTTTAGACCTGCAAAAATGGCAATTTTATATGACTTAATCTAATAAAATTGAGATACAATTTATATATTAATGGGTCCAATATCTTAGCCTTTTTTATTAATTTACACATCAGTCTTTACCTTTGGTGCTTTTCCTTAGTTGTGAAAAAGCAAATCAAGGTAAAATACTGGTAAACAGGGCATATGAAAGTCATAGGAAACCAGCCAGAAGTCTTGCCCAAATTTATTATTGATTCACCACGTAATTTACAGTAAGATGAGGGTCATTTTACATAATACATGTGTTGGAAGGAGATAAGAGTCTATTTCCTTTGTGGAATAAAATAGTTCGTTGGTGTGAATATTCACCCAAAATACGCAAGCAATGAGAGATGGAGGATGAATGGACAGGCGCATCAAGTGTGAAGCATACCAAAGACAGTTCTTGCTGGGACGGACTCCTTATTAATCCAGAAAGACACCTGGGAAAGAATGACTGTCATAATGCAAGGAGTATATATCTGTATCATGAAGTAGCCCATCTTCCTTTGCAAGTGAAAATAAACTGTCATTATGACGTATTCACCTGTTGGAAGACATGTACATCGATATTATTGCTGTTGACAGTCTGAAAAAAGAATCCAATTGCATATAAATCTTGAAAATTTTTAAATTAACATCCACTGCAGGAAAACAGGCAAAGGCATAATTTAATGTATGAAAAAGCTACTTAATCATCAGATGACAGAGCAAAGAGACACGTAAGTTGATTGTTTTCCATGAGGTTCTTTGTGTCATATATATACAAAAGTACTTGCTCCAAAATTACAAAAATCTTTATATGCACCTGGTTTCAATATCAATTTTAAGGAAAGCTACATTCATTTCAAAACAGCATGCTTTTTTGAGCCGAGAATGGCTAATGCAGAGGAAAAAGAAATAGGTATTTTGAAAATGTGCACTAGAGTCACCTTGCACGATTGCATCCATGCACTGGTCAAAGTCTTACCCGTGTTAGATTTAATTGTCTCACTTGATACTGTTTGTCCAATCAGATCATACTGTAGAAGGCTTGATGATTCTTCTGGAACTTCTACTGAATAAAGTGGCCCCTTTTTCCATGTATATATGATTTCGCTTTTGGGGTAAGCATCTGAATTTTTGAAACAAGTTAAACATAGCAGCGAATCTGACTAGCTGTTTTTTTGTTTTTTTGTTTTTTGTTTTCCTTCAAAGCAAGTATTGTCTATATAACTAGGTAATACAAATATAAATTGTCTTTAATTTTTTCTCTAATTTCGGTGAATAAAACCTCTTTATATGAGATTGACAGACATGATTAAACAAGTATATTCCTGGAATCACAAAGAAAGGGTCACAGTAATATTTCTCTCTTGCTTTCAAGTCTCTAGTCAAAACCAAATAATTACATATTTTGTACGTATTATTTCACTCTCAGAAGCTTTTTGAAACTTACAGCTCCCAAACTTGAGTGGACAAGCATGTCCATCCATAGGAAAGTTAATCAGTCTCATGGGACAGTCAGCATTAATGGTAAGCCTAGGGGCATTGAAATAAATGGTTCTGAGTTAGTATGATAGACAAATCATTTGGGCAGAGGAAACAAAATTGGAAAAACCTCACCTCATGGTGTATAGAATGGTTCCATTTTGCATTATTCTGAAGAGTTTATTAGGGGTTGTCATATTGTGAGCAATTGACTTTTTGCCATTCCTGAAAAAAGTGTCAGGTGTCCAGATTTTACTGACCATCAAGTTATTCAAGCTCAGAATTTCGGCTGGCCCCCCAAACTTTAACCTCTCATCAGTCCAAGTCTGGCGGAAAAAAACATCCATGGTATACTCCTGAGAGAAAAGAAAATATTCACGCAGGCTGGGGATGTGGTTGGTTAAGAATAGTTCATTCACTAGCTAATAGACCCAGTTCGAAAACTTAAGAAATAATGCGACTTTTTACGATGATAACGTTTCAGTAAAGTTATGATTTTAGAGAGTCATTTTTCTCAAAGTCAGAAAGTTTGTAATATTATTATAAAAGATAGTGTGGTGTTGTGCAAACCTCCCACATGCATTTCAAATTCTCTTCAGTGTTCTTCCTCTTTGTCTATCCAGTCATTCACCTCTCTACCTATCAACCAATTGGTATCTCCCTCTTTAATTTAGATGAAAATAAACAACAATATTTATACCCTAACAATATTTATACTCTAGGCTTTGTGCTGGCCTTCCTACCATCAGGTAGTCTAACCATTCCCTCTAGTCCTTTGTTCACCTTTAAAGGCCTCTCAGAGCATCACAGTACCATTCGGTAAAGTTCCAAGGATAGATAAACATTATTTGATAAGCACACCATGGATGCACATCATAATTATTTTATATTGCTCTCAGAAAACATAAAAGCAAATGTTACCATTATTATCCTAAACAGAGCATCATTTAAGTATGCATAATCAAAATTACAATTTTAAATTTGTGGCTTTTACAAAATAACATTAAAATATTTAAGAATCATAATAAGGGCTATTGCAAAAATCAATGACAAATAATAACATGTAATAATATCAAAGGATTGTCAATAATTGCTTTGCCTACCTTCTAGATTCCTCATAAGACTTATTGCTGTAAGTAGTGATTATATTTTTAAAATATAATTGACACATGATATACCCATACAATAACGATCAAAGCTATAATAGGGCTCTATTGTACAAATATTCTTTAAAAAGAGCTGCATGCATGAAATAAAATTCTGTGTATAACCAGACTTCAATAATAGAGTAGAAAATGATTGTGGCTGTTTATATTTAGAGTGACTTAGTATTCAAATAAAAAAATATGATACTAAAAATGTTCAGGCTTCTTAATAATGCTTATTCTCTTTAACTGCTGAGATGTTTCTCTCTTCAACAAAACCCTTCGTCCCTCTCTCCTCCTCTTTCTTGTTTTCTTTCTTTCTTTTCTTCCCTTCCCTTTTTCCTTTTTTCTCTACTCTTTCCATTTCTCCTTTCTTTCCATCTTTCTTTTCTTGTCAACTCAAAAATCAGAAGATAAAACAGTCTCCAATAACTGTTTATGTAGAATGATGTGTCCCTAATAAAATCTAATGACAAACCTTTTGTAAAACAGTTATGCTTATTTCAGCATTAGTATTTCTGTTTTAGTTTTAAAGAGAAATGCTACCTGATAACAGTGTGGAGGGGGGAATCATGATACACTTTGTTCTAGTAGACTCATTCAGGTTTTTATTGTCACTCACTATTAATACCATCTTACGAATCCTACAGCCATCTGTACCAGGAACAGAGTACCCAGAACACCTACTGGTCCATCCACAATATAAAAGGAAGATTGCATTAGCATTCAGAATGATTGCCTTTACTGTTTTAATAAAACATACCGATAATGATTTTACTACAAAAAAACAGTTACATTTTAGGTTTCATAGATTTCTTCAGTATATTCCTACATGGAATAGGATTTAGATGTGTGCATGTGCATGTGCTTGTGTGTGTGTGTGTGTGTGTGTGTGCATGTTTTCCTGCTCCAACAAATTTACTGGGACTTCACAAAGACAGGGAAAATCTTCCATTTGAAAATAAGAATTGTGTGTGTGTGTGTGCATGTTTTCCTACTCCAACAAATTTACTGGGACTTCACAAAGACAGGGAAAATCTTCCATTTGAAAATAAGAATCAGTGGATAGAAGAGAGGATATAAACTTTAAAAAATCCCTCAGTTTAAAACATTCAAGCAGAGCTGTTAGAGAAATGTGGAGGAGATTAAGCCAGTAATCTGCTCTAATGGCTGTGACCTCCCAGCATGCACACATATTGCATTATGAATCTAGAGCCAAGCTTGGTGGCAATGCCCATTATCACTAGTTCTGCGACTCCACTGTCCTCCCCTAAACAAAAATACCCAACTCACTCACAGCTCACTCACCATGTCCACATCTGACACGGGCCCAAAACTGGTCACGTAAATGTCTGTTTTGACTTCGGTGACAGCTCCTGAAATCAGCCAAGAGGGATGGGGCAATTATTGCCAGTGACATTAAGGGCACTAAACTTAATGACTCTACCACGAAAACCCTTCTCATAGACAAAATCTGCAACCTATCTTACTGTACTCTGGTAGTGGGAGTCCTCGGGTCTTTCAACTCTAAAAACTCACATCAATTGCCTCAGTTTGAGTTTATTCTAGTCAAATTGGGTGAATATGAAGGAATGGAAGAGAACTAGTTAGCGTTCTAATAAAGATGATAATCATAACTAACATATATTTGAGCTTTAATGGAGTAAATGCTAAAGAAGTATTTTGCATGGAGAATCTCATTGTACACCCACACAACTCTATGAGGCAAGCATGTTCCTACACCCATGCTACAGTTGAGAACACTGAGCTTAGAGAGTTCAAGTAACTTCATAAGGTCACTAATCAAGGAAGGGGCAGAGACCGGTGGGAATACACATGTGGTCTCTCTCCAGAGCCCCTGCATCTTACCACTCTTATATCTTACCTGCTTTCCAACTCCTTGGGGTCTTCCATGGTAATCAGGGCAGATGACTACAGGAGTTTGGTCTAGCAATGAAGCAGCTTCTTACCTCCAAATCCGGGCCGCAACCGATTGTCATAGCCTTCAAGCAAGTTATCCAGGATCCGACTGATGTTCTCTGAGTAGAAGTTGCCTTCATCCTCAAGTTTCCCTAGGGCACTCTCTAGCCTGTAAGAACAGATCCTCTCTCCTGGCCTCAAGGAAGGTATTTCATCTTATCCACCTTGTCCACCCCACTGCAAATACATGCTACACCACCCCTGGCTTCTTCCATGGTTTGGCAGAGAAGTCACCCAGTGGGTGGGTGATATCTCTTTCCTCTGAGTTAAAAGTAAAAATCAGAAAAGAAAACAAAGAAGTCTTACTCACCAAAGAATAATGTACAGCCAGGGCAGAGGCGACGCCATCCTAGGGTGCACTGAAATGCCCAGTTCACCCCGCTCCCTATATCTTCCTCCCCTCTGACCAGCTCTCCTTTGCCGATCAACTAGAGAAATCTTCCAAACTCCACATATCCTTGTTCCTTGTTTGCTTCTAGTCAGTAATCCAATAGGTAAATCAGTTGCCAGAGAACTTTCAGGGTTCCCCCTGCTTCCCTCTTTCTTGTGTCTGTCTTTTCACATGAAACAAGGTGG